AAATTCTCTCAGCTTTTGCTTATCTGGAAATTGTTTAATCCCTCCATCAAATTTAAGTGATAATTTGCCAGATAAAGTAATCTTGGTTCCAGGCCCTTGTGCTTCATTGCATTAAAGACATCATGCCACTCCCTTCTGGCCTATAAGGTTTCTGCTGAGAAGTCTGATGTTAGCCTGATGGGCTTTCCTTTGTATGTGATCTTATTTCTCTCTCTGGCTGCTTTTAATTGTCTGTCCTTATCCTTGATCTTTGCCATTTTAATTACTATATGTCTTGGTGTTGTCTTCCTTGGGCCCCTTGTGTTGGCAGATCTGTGCATATCCATGGCCTGAGAGATGATCTCCTTCCCCAGATTGGGGAAGTTTTCAGCAATTACTTCCTCAAAGACACTTTCTATCCCTTTTTCCTCTCTCTTCTTCTTCTGGTACTCCTATAATGTGAATATTGTCCCTTTTGGATTGGTCACACAGTTCTCTCAATATTCTTTCATTTTTAGAGATCCTTTTTTCTCTCTGTGCCTCAGCTTGTTTGTATTCCTCTTCTCTAGTTTCTATTTCATTTATCGTCTCCTCCACTGTATCCAATCTGGTTTTAATACCCTCCATTGTGCTCTTCAGTGATTGGATCTCCAACCGGAATTAATTCCTGAGTTCTTGAATGTCTTTCCATACCTCCATGAGCATGTTAACGATTTTTATTTTGAACTCCCTTTCAGGAAGATTCATGAGATCAATGTCATTCAAATTTTTCTCAGGAGTTGTATTAGTAGTTTTACTCTGAACCAGGGTCCTTTGTATATGGCGCCCTCTAGTGCCCAGAAGCCCTACTCTCTGGAGCTGCTCAGTCCCTGAAGCAATGTGGGGGGTCGCAGGGCTGTGGTATTGGTGCCTGGGGGGAGAAAAGAGCTGTTTCTGCTTCCTGGTTGCTATGCCTGTCTCCATTGCCTGAACCAGTGGTCTGAGCACAGAGGTATAAGCCTCTATGCTTTGCTTTTGTAGTTGCTGTAGACAGGTCTTCCATCTGGCTGGTTTGTCAGTTTGCATGCCAGTAGGGCTGGCTGGGAGAAAGACGCAGTAGGCTGCGTATCATGGAGTGGGTCCTTGGAGCTGTGTAGTTAGCCAGGGAGCTGGAGCACCTGAAGATCGTGAAAGTTCCCAACCTGCTGGGCAGAGTACACCTAGACAGTTTTGTCTACCTGTCCTTTCTCCTGAGCAGTAAGCTCTGTGCAATCCTTGCCCCTTTAGCCTCCCTCTTACTGTTAGGAAGTCTCTCAGACTGCCCGCCTTTCTTTTGTCCCAGAGCAGCTGGATATGGATCCCTGCTTTCTATAGGTGACTGGAATCTCAGTCGTTCCAGGAATTCTGCCTGTCTTAGCTTTCCAACCCCCTAATCAGAAGAGTACCATGCAAGCACCATGGAATGTAGGTTTGTGCTCCCAGAGCAGATCTCCGGAGTTAGGTATTCAGCAGTCCCAGGCCTCCACTCCCTCCCCCTCTCTGTTTCTCTTCCTCCCACCAGTGAGCTGGGGTGGGGGAAGAGCTTGGGTCCCACTGGGCCACAGCTTTGGTGTGTTACCCTGTTCTGTGAGGTCTGCTCTTTTCTCCAGGTGTATGCAGTCTGGCACAGTCCTCTTTCCTGTTGCTCTTTCAGGATTAGTTGTATTAATTGTATTTTCGTATTATATGTGGTTTTAGGAGGAAGCTTCTGTCTCACCTCTCATGCCGCCATCTTTAATCCTCTCTCCATACCGTTAATCTTAAAAGTCGAAATTGAAAAAAAAAATTTTTTTTTTTTGAGAGGACATCTCTCATAGTTATTGATCAAATGGTTGTTAACAACAATAAAGTTCTGTATAGGGAACTCAATGCACAATCATTAGTCCACCCCAAGCCTAATTCTCATCAGTCTCGAATCTTCTGAAGCATAACAAACAAGTTCTTACATGGTGAACAAATTCTTACATAGTGAATAAGTTCTTACATGGTGAACAGTACAAGGGCAGTCATCGCAGAAACTTTTGATTTTGATCACGCATTGTGAACTATAAACAATCAGGTCAAATATGAATATTCGTTTTATTTTTATACTTGATTTATATGTGAATCCCACATTTCTCCCTTATTATATAATTATTATTATTATTTTTAATAAAATGCTGAAGTGGTAGGTAGATGCAAGATACAGATAGAAAACATAGTTTAGTGCTGTAAGAGAGCAAATGTAGATGATCAGGTGTGTGCCTATAGACTAAGTATTAATCCAAGCTAGACAAGGGCAACAAAACATCCACAGATGCAGAAGATTTCTCTGAAATGGAAAAATTTTTATAATAATTCTTTCATAGGGGATAGTGGTCATATAGGTTGCCTGCTAGTGAGCCCACTTAGATGATTCTTGCAGAATGGTAGTTAGGTGTGATTATACTGGAACAAGTGAGGTTAGTTGGGTGAATAATAGATTTTTTCCATTGAACTAGTTTATTTTAACTTTTAGATCAGGAATCATTGGTGTGTATTAGTTCTGTTGTTTAATAGTGCTTAAGACCAAATGTTTAGAAAGTAAAAGTAACTTAACAGGGTGTGAGGTTGAAAATCTTTCTTAGCAGCCACTGACTCTGTACTTAGTCTCTGAGCCTAAATCCTTTCCTGCTTTTAAATGTGGACTCACTTTGGTACATTGTATATTAATAGTTTAAAAGTTAGGTAAGTTGCCTTACAATCTTCAGTTGAATGAAGGAATACTTCACAGCATTACAGTACTGCTCATGGTCATGCAGAAACTCAACTTCACTATGTTGTAATGTTGTGCCTATTTACATCCAGCCCCTGGGCTGAAGGAAGGCCCTGCAGAGAATCTTTTTGATCTCCCACTTCACTGCTGCTGCTGTGAAACAGCACTGCCCATCCTGTTTGGAAGTAGGATCTCCTACAAGTGCTTGCTTCTGGGCAGACTCACTCTGACTTCTCACTGGTGCCCTTGAAGTTGTGGGAGCCCAGCTGGCTGACAGCAGTGGTGGTCCCTTGCACCATGCTACCCTAATGTGAAAAGAACATAATGGAAAAATTTTCTTTTGTGGTGTGCTTTTCCAATGACAGAGAAGAAAACTATATAACTAAATATTTAAAACCTTGCCTATTCTTGATAGATAAGGTATGGACTTCTTTGGGCTCATTGGTTCTTCTCAACAGGTGACAATGATTAAATGTTAAATGTCATCCATTTTACAGAGTTACTATGTAAAATTAATAACTAATGCCCAGTTTGCATTTTCTTCAAATCACAATAAGGATATATTAATACTTTACTGAAAATTGTTTATTTAGTCCTTGCATATGTATTCAGGTGTATGTGTGACTTTTTAAAAATATTTTTTACAGTGGAAAAGTCCAAATATAAACAGAATTACATAGAATTATATAACAAACTCCCATGTATGCATCATGCAGTTTAAACAACTTAATAATTCCTGGATGATTGTGTTTGCACTGTACCTTACCTATTCCCTTTCTTTGGTATTTGGAGCAAATCCCAAGCATGTCATTTCATCTGAAATAAGTAATTTTTTGAAAGGGTATCTCGAGTTGTGTAAAGCTGATGTCTTTAAAAACACAAAACTCTTGGAACTCTATAAGAACATCAGGTGTGTAGTTTAATAGATTATTATAATAAAGATAACATGTAACTACCACTCAAGTCAAGATGTAATGTCCCTTACTAAGTACAATCCCCAACCCTGCCTACCATGCTGACTTTTATGCTTTTGAAATGAATGCTTTTCATTATAAAATATAATGACCTTAAAAACTTAGAAAATAAGACTGTTCTTTTTGTGGGAAAACTTATGTAATTAAAATATTTTTACAGAGACTTGAATAATAAAGAAAAATGTTTAATGTGTGAGAGAAAAGAGGTTATATAAACATATATCTTAGCTATATAACAATTCTTAGAGAAACACTGAAATGAAAACTATCAATGTTAAAAAATAATCTTACTCTCCTGTTAGATTGAGCTTATATTTGTGTTAAATTTTCTTGCATGAAGTGATATGAATCAGATGATTTAATTAGTAAAAAGCAACTGGATTGACAGAAGGGAAAAAATTCTAAGCAGTTTTGCAAAGCAGAGAAGCCACATAGGGTTCAAGTGCTGTAACGAAGCTGGTGTTGTCAGGTTCAAACTGAAAAAATAACAAGGTGAATTAGGTAGAAGAGCTTTTAACTTGTAGTATGAACATTATACCATGATTGTTAGTTTATTAAACTAAGATAATATAAAAGTGATATTTAATATTGTCATCCTTGGTGGTATTTTAATCTCATTAACTCTTGAATGATGGAAGAGTATATATAAATTTGTACTAGTTTCCTTATTCTAATGTGAAGTGTTGGATAATGTTTGTCTCCTAATAGATAAGGCCTTTTATGAAAGCACACCTAAATCGAGATAAAGACAAAGAACTTTTAAAATTAACTCAGTACCTCAAGGAAATAGCAAAGTTAGATGACTTTTTGGACCTAAATCACAAATATTGGGAAAGGTAAGTGCTAATTGCTTATTCATTTCCTCTTTACATTAATGGAAAAAATTGTCTAGTGACCCTGGTTATATATGTAACTCCTTAATTTTTATTTAAAATGGGTACACTCTAAAATTATTTTTTACTCCAGTGACATCTCTCTTGAAAGTATTTTTCCCTTTTGACTTGAACTCTAATTTGCTCATAAACCTGCATCTTAAGTATTAAGATCTTGAATACTTCTAGTAGAGAGGACTTAAGAGACTGGTACATGTTTGTGGAGCTACCTATACATTATTTTGTGACAAATTGGGAGGTCACTCATGAATCATATGGGAAAGTAATCCCTGTTCTCATACTATAATGTCTGGGTAAAATAAAATACCCTAAAAAGTTTCCTGTTAAAAATTATAAGTAACCTCTCTGTATAACAGAAAAATTATAAATCTTTATTCCACTAGAAGAGCAACTACTTAAAATTTTCCTTTCCAAAGATACCACTGTTACTCTCTTGATAGTCTTCTAGTCTTTTCCTAAGCACAAATGTATGCACAAATCTACATAAAGGCTGCATATAAACATCAAGATTTTGAGGCACGGGAAAACTTCTGGAGAACTGGATAAGATTATTAATGGACTTTATTATGTACTGCAAGTCATTTTTTGGAATTCGATCTTTGAAGATTTGATTCCACTAATACAGCAACAAAAGAAACTGTTCATATAATAACAACACTTTGGCTTTTGAAATTCCCTCTGAATTTGAAATTTTAGGCTTTTCAAATTTTCTTAACACATCTCTGACATACAGTTTATTAGATTGTCATAATCCTATTAGGAAGATAAGACAGGCATTTTTATCCCAATCTCCAAATTATAGATGATGTAACTAAGTCACAGAGCTAGTAAATGCCACAGTGGCACAGAATGAGCAAGTTTTTGTACTACCAATCTTGTTCGGATCTTTTGATTTTAAGAACTCTTTCCCTACCTCCACACTACTGAGCATAGTAATTTGTAAATGTGAGAAATAGAGATATAAAATTTTTAATTTAGTGGTAGATTCCTATAAAATAATTGAAGAAAAATTTGTTTGCTTAAGTAACATCTTTGTATCTTTATACTGTTGATCGGAATCCTTTAGCAACTTTGGCCCACTATCTCTAAGTAAGAAAAATAAGATCTTTAAGTGGCAAAAGAGGAAATTATAGTACTAGTTAAAATATTAGTTTCACATTTGGAAGTAAAGCTTTGTGGAGTGATACAGTACAGCTTCCAGAGCTTTGTTTTGAATCTGAGCTCTGCTACCTTCTAGCTTGTGTGAACTTGGGCAAATTACTTCACCTCTTTGTACCTATAAAATAGGAATCAATTCTAATAAGAGAACTCTTCGTAGGGTTGTGAAGACTAAATGAATTAACACATCATCTTAGAACAGTGGGTAGCACATAAATAACATGTTAGCAATCATTTACAATTATGACTCATCTTGAAAAGTTTTGTTGTTAAAATGAATTACTTTCCTTTAGAAGGAGAGTTAGACTGCTATGTAAATTTAGCATGATATGACACAGATATCTTTATTTTATTTCTTGCAGGTATCTCTCAAAGAAGCAAGGGCAGTAGTTACAAGTTAAACTGGCAGATATTGAAGATACTTGAGATTCAAGAACTTCTTGCTTTTATGCTAGAAATTATTATGATAGTGCTGGACACTGCAGCAAATACCAGACTGCTTATACTTGGTCTTCCAGTTTTTTGTAAATTTAATTTTATATTTTTTGAAGATCACAGCAATACGCTAAAAAAATAAATCCTTTTTCTTCCCTGTATGAATATATGGTTACTTTTGAAAAATATTTTTTCCATTATTGAGTACTGAGTTTTTTTCCCCAAAACCATTAAAAAAAGTGGACAAGTGTATACTCAGCAGTGTTATTTTGTGACTTTGGAAACAAGTTATGTCTTGTGTTTGTCTCACTATGTTGTTGTCTTACTAAGCGCAAACCATTCTGAAACTACTGCTTTTCCCTGTAAAACCAAAAAAAAGCAGGGGGGTAGGATTTTGAGTAAGGACCCTAGTTTGGTATGCTTAAAATCAGTTTTTTTAATTCCTTTGTCATAGACACAATTTCTGTTCTTACTCCACTATTTACATCTTTAAATTTGGAGCCATCTCAGTTTGGTCTGTATGTGTGTTAGTGTTCTTTGAATAAAACTGGAAAATGTCAACTGTGAACAGCTGCACCAGAGTGTGAGAAACAGAAGACATAAGACTGAAGACGACTGGAGACAAGGGTGCGCTTCTTGTTGGCAGCTGAGCAGGACTTCTAACCATTGTCGTAAAAGCAGAGGCAATACATTTTAAGATGGGACATAGCCCTGGTTCAGCCCTAAAAAGCATGAACAAAAAGTTTTTTGTTCCAGCCATATCTTGTCTAAGTGCAAGCACTGTGTTTCAGTGAAAATATCTAGCCATAAGATTAAAAAAAAAATTATTTGCAATGCTTATGACTACAGATATGTAATGTGACCACTGTTTCGTGTTAATACAGATCTTGTATTTGAAAGGAATCTTATCCTTTCAAATAAACATGGTGTATATTGTTCTTACGGGACTATTTCAGTGGTGTAAATAAAAAGTACCTTTTCTTAAAACATTGGTTATCTGCTCTGTATTATCCCAAATATTTTGCTTCTTTGTTGAATTGCAAAGCAAAACAAACAAGGTTCAGGTAAGGACTTTTTGAAAAAAATTGTTTGTATGGTTTTAAGTGTGTATATCACTGTTCATGCATTCAGCATTGGTTTTAGCAGCTAATTAGATATGTTAAATTACTTGATTTTAGTAAGAACCATGTTTTCTAAATGATAAACTTTTCTTTGTGGTAGGTTATTTTACAGATTTATAATGCAGGAGAATTTTGAGAACCCCTAAATAAAATAATTCGGTTAAAATTTGTTTCTTAATTATGAGGCTAAATTTAAATATTTAAGAATGGGATATAATTATTTCAAAGTATTCATTTCATTGGTACATTTTCCCACTATAAAAGGCAGCTTATTATTCCAAAGTAGTCATGGAAAAGGCTAAGTTTTTTTAAGAAAACTGAACACTTAAAACTATTAAATAGATCAATAAAAGCAGACATTTTCTAAATCATTATAAAGTAAAATACAAAAATTAGCAAACCTTAGGAAGCAAAGTAGGATTGCTAAAGAAACATTTTCTGCCATTAGGTGGTGCCCAAACCAAAGTTTGTTAGCTGCATGCTAAATTAAGCAATTCTGAGAATGTTGTCACTGTCACCTTATAAAATCACATGTACTTCTGTGATTAATACAAAGTATTGGGAGTTCTGGTTTATCTGCATCTCATGATACATTGAACAGGTCTTTATCTGCCTATATACCTATGCATGTGGTACACAACCAGATAACTTAATCCAGGTGCATATTCTGGTGAAACAGCAGAGATTAACATAAAGTTAACTTTATGATACATATATTCCCACTCTCAAATAATTAGTACCCAATAAAGTATATTTAATTTAAAAACTGCTAAACTTCACTAAATCTTTGAGAGGGCAGTTTGAGGTTTATTGGTATCTTAGGACTTGTGAAAATCAGTTACTGGACTGATATTTAGAGGAATTACTCAGTTTTAAAGACTGATAAATGCGTAATTATAGTAAGCAACTGAAATGTTCTTCATTCATAGAAGGTAAAATGGTTGTTTTGGGAGGAGGTAGAGTTGTGCAGGGGTGGGGACTGGGAAAAACAAAAAAACCAAAATGCAATTATTTAGGTTATTGCTTATTTTTTAAATAGTTGGTTGCCAAGAATAATAAAACTTGAATAGTGAATAAACTGGTTCAGGGCTTTTCTAATTCCAAGTAATCAGAACTTTCTCCAGGAGCAAATTATTAGTTTCCCCTAAAGTATTTATTCTTCAAGATTTGCTAATTGTATTAGCTAGAATAGCAGCCCAAGAGGTGTCTAGATATTAAATGCTTAGATATTTATGTAATGATATACTAGTTTTGGGAATTGCTTTGGAGGGGATGCTAACTGTTTAGAGCTTGAGGAGAAATCCTTGAAGATTAGTTTGATAGATTTATTAAAGACTTCTGAGAAATTAATGCATTATAAAAACTGAAACAGAAAGCAGTATCAGGCATCCAGTGGGTTTAGAAAAGGATGTCAATTTAATGTCATTGAGATTCCATGTAGAATGTAACATTTTAAACTCCCACATAATTTTAATAGAAACTTAGTAAGTAAGCACACTTCTTAAATGCTAGTGCAAAGATATTTCCTGATATAAAGTATTACTTATTAAAATACTGTTTTCCTTCTGAAAAGCTTTAGAAATTGAACCTAATTGGTCTGTTATAACAGTGGGAACACAGACTTTAAAATATCAAAAACAAAGATTGCATAAACAATATGGCTACAGACTGTATGTGTATAATTTGTGATACTAAAGGCCAAACTGATGACTTTCCAGGAATGTGTAGATTATGAAAATGAAAATAAAGTTGGAACAGTTTTTCATTAAATACAACTCTCTGTTAATCCTATTTCTAGTTCTTAAGTCCCTGGAGCACTTCTGATTGCCATCACTTGGTGTTGTGAACAGCTATAGTTTACCAAATGAAACCTTCAGGAGAAAGGGCAGGTGATTTGTCAGAAAAGCACTTGGCTAGAATCCCTCCTCACTGGCACTGGGGCCTTGAGCAAATCTCTTTAACTGAACTTTTGCTTCCTCTTCAGAAAAGTAGTCACAATAACACCCGTCTTTCTCATACACTGTTGTTGCAAAGGTCAAGTTAAACAATTCATGTAAAAGTACTTTGAAGCTCCTAGGGCTTATGTGAATGTTAGATGTCATTGAAAGTGGTTCAGAGTGTGTGGCTATGATTAAGCTTTATCATTCTTGAAATTATAATTAGAATAGTATTTAAAGGAAAATTTTTCTTGACTACAGATATTACCTTGGCTTTCTAAGAGTTCTAAACAAGGAAAGTAGAATGAAGAAATATTTCTTATGGTCTAGATGTTTTTGTAAGTATCCAAATGTTTCTGTCTCCTGCTGCCGTTTAGTAATGGTCTGGACTGAATTCCTGCCACAGCCACCTCCCACAGTGGGTGTGTTTGAGACTCTTGCAGCATTATAATACATTGTGTATAGTGGAACTTTAACATTATCTTAATCTTTTATCTTGGGAAACCAGTTGTTCCTAAGTAGAAGCTTGCATGTAAAAAATAATGACTTGAAAGTGAGTCTTAAAACATTTTTTTTTCTTGTGAAGATATTTTAAGGCAGATAATAGTGTTTTCTTAATAAGCTTAGCAGAATAAACTGCAGGAACTAGGCAGTCATCACTTAACATGTATTTATTAGTATCTACTATGTGTCTCAGGCACAGTTCTTCAGAGGTAAACAAAACAAGATTTTCTGTAAAGTTTATATTCAAGTAGGGGAAACAAACTAATAGGATAATTTTCAAAGAGTGAGTAGTTCTTTATAAATATAATAATATGTTAGAAAGTGACTGGGGTAATGGGTTGTAGGGTCATGATTGACAATAGCATGGGTTAAAGTGGGAAGACCTGAATGGTAAGAGGCATCACTTCCAAATATTATGGAGAAGAGTACTGTGGGCAAAGCTAGGAGCAAGTGCGAGACCTCATGGCAGGAACAAAGCAGGCAGGTTGAGGGACTAGTGGGAGGTAAGTGGTGGCTGGTGAGAGAGGAGAGCAGAGAATTAGGCAGAGCCCAAGGGATAGGTAGGATTTTGCAGATCATAATAAGTAACCTGGTAAATTCTAAGTGAAATGGGGGAACCACTGGAGGGTTTTAAGTAGGGGGATGACAAATTTTTTAATACCCTTATTGAGATATAATGTATACATTCTAAAATTCACCCATATGAAATGTTCCAGTACAATGGCTGTTAGTATATTTTAGGTTTTTGTTTTTTCAGTGTATACAGAATTGTGTAACCATTGCCATGATCTAATTTTAGGACCTGATTTGTTTTTAAAACGATCATTCTGGCTCTTCTGTGGAGATGGATTATAGAAGGGCAAAAGTAGAAAGGACAAGATCAGTTAGAAGGCTACTGTATTATCTTGGTGAAAGGCTCAAAGTGATGCAAGGAAAGTTTGCATTGCTTCACTCCATTGCATCGTTTCCCAACTACCTTTTGAGTCACTGTGTGAGGTGCCAGGTCTCGAGTGGTGAATAAGACAGACAAGGAGCATGCAGTTGTGGTGTTAGGCAGAAAGATAGATAAAAGCGGGATGAAAAGAGGGTGGGGCCAACCAAGAACTCAGGGAGTTGATCAGATAAAGCCAGAGAGCCAGACTCACACCTTTGCAATGTGAGTTCATTCCACATGCTCAGAATCTGGACTGACCTTGAGACTCGCTCTAGTTAGTGCAGGTGACGACATAGGTCAGAGACAAGGGACAAACATTATGATTAGTTTTCCTTAAAAATGTCAAGATTAGTATAATAACAGGAGAGATCTTATTTTAAGACTAAGATTCCACTTTTGAAAGAGATTGGGAAGTTAGATTCAGCCAACAACTTATTTTAAGGCAAGGCAAGCAGTCTTAACAATGTGTTCCCAATGCTTGGGAGTGGCCACTATATTAGAGAGGAACAAAAGGTTTGTCCTGCAGAATGACCTAGAGGACTAGCTATAGACAGTGACACATTGTCTCTCACCAGAGACAGAATCATGAGATGAGACCACCTGACAAGCCTACACCCCTGACCCTCTACCTTTGCCCCATTTTTGAAAGCCTTAAAAGACAGAATCCCAGCTTGTGGGTGTGCCTATTCCTCTCTGAGACTGCCTGCACTCCCCTTCCTTGGAGTGTGTATTTTCAAAAGACTTCTTACTGCTCAACTCATTACACTTTGTCTCTGAACTTTTCCAGTGGTATTTTTGTCACTTTGCTGTTCCATTCTATTTTCCAGCCTTTAAGCATAAGTCTTCATTCTTTCTCTCCTACTCCAAATAGGGAAGTAAACCTGGGTTTACCTACCTTGACTCTAGCCCATTCCTTCCTTCAAGTATCTTCAAATAAAACTTTTACTCTGCTTCACTACTACGTCTCTGCCCTTCAGTTCTTTGTTGCAGCAGGGACACGGACAAGAATGGAGGAGAACAAACTGAACCACCCCCAGCCAACAGTGGGACTATGCATGACAAACTGAGCCTTCTGGGCTTCTCTACTTGCTAAGAGATTTAATTTGAAGAATAGAGAACTCAACATGTCAAAGTTAACAAATCAAGAGCCTTTCTCACTCCATTCACACCACGATGAAAAAGCCCTCTGTGACTCCAGCCAACCCTGTTGTCCAGAGGCTGGACCTGGGATCAAGTGTCTAGCATGGGCACGGGTTGGGTGAGTGGAGGGAACAGCACTCAGGATGATAGATCAATGGCCACCTTGCATTTCTCTGGAGAATGTTGGCACAAGAAATCCCCTTCTAGCTATTTCACGCACAGGCAGCCAAGAAAATCATTGAATATTTTGCGTTGGTGTTCAATATACTGCCACTTCTTCTGCAGCATCTAATGGGGCTACAGGGTTGCATACAATGTGCCCTAAGGTTGTGGCTGAGTTCCTCTGCCAGG